TCCCTGAAGGAAAGAAGTATCAAAATTATTCAGAATATTTTATATGGAAAGCTTCAATTCTGTCACACTGCTTGCCATCAGCATATATAATGCATAGCATAACCCGATCACATTTTTTTGGATTTAACTTCAGGGTAACCGGTCAGCCAATCTTTGACAAGTTACCTGTTATCCAAAAAGGATACAGATTTTGCAAGGTGAATGGAGCATTTTCCACGAACTATCAACAATCTCTGAAAATATTTCATATTGTATTTTATAATTGTCCTCGAACAGCAAACCTAATTTTGAGTTTACGACTACCTACGTTCAACTCTGTAGTCTTGAATCCAATCCAGAAAACAAAGGAACTAATTTAATATAGAAACTTTGTTAATGAAATTTAACTATGAACTTTTTTAAATGCAAAGTATATGAAAACATAAATTTATTATTAATGTTTTCATATTATCTTTTTAATTCGTGTCTCAATAATCTTTACAAATAAATCATTATAACTATAGATATTCAGCTTCAAATAAGGATTTCCAAGTTTTAAACATTTTGACACACGTTTGAACTATTAATCCAATAGTCCAGTTCATGTAAACCAATTGTACTTTAATGTTTTAAAAATGTTAGAACATAAATTCACATATTCATTTATAAGGTTTAAAATTTATTGCCCACTAATTTATTAAAAGTATATATGGGATAAAAAAAATCACTTATTAACATTCATTGGCAAATTAAATTAAAATACGTTGATTTGGAAATGATAAAATTTGTAATGAATATCAATGAGATAAAAAAAAAAAAACTTTTCAATAAATCTTTAAGATTTCCGAGATAAGTTGATAGTTCATCTTCTCTTTCATGTAATTCCAATTCAGCACATTTACGAAGATCTTCAGTAATAAGATCACTTTCGAACTTCGTGAACTCTTCACTCGACTTTTTTTCCATGATTAAATCCTGCAGAGAAAAAAAAATGTAATTTTTTATTTATCTGGCATATATAATGAATTTTAATAAAAGCAGGTATTTATAGCGCTAAAAAAAGGCTTTTAAATACCAATTACATGTACAGATAGACCCTGCATTAATACTTAAAAATTCAATTGAATTTTTACTTACGCCTGGATCATTAATTATGACATCATCAGACTACCACTGTACTGGGGGATATTATCATAACTACGGCAAGTTGGCGAAGAGTCGCCGAGGAAGGAATATAACCAGGGTTGCCAGACTTTGAAATTAAAAAATACTACAACTGTATCTGAAAAAATACTACAAAATATAGTGCCGTAGATATAAGGAACCCGTAA